CCCCCCCCTCCCTGCCTCCCTCACTACTGCAGCACACTCAGCACTTCTATCTCGTTAACGATGAAGTTCTGCGACCCGCCCAACAGAGCATCGCCCTCCTCATCCATCACTCCCATGTAGCCCTCAGGCACATACTCGCTCCGAGTGTACTGATAGCAGCTGCGGATGTCGGCAGAAGGCGGGCCATCGGAAGTGCCGCTCCAACCCAAAAGGATACCTCCACCGATCCCCATATTCGCACCAAACGCATTCCACTTCCTCCCCGCCACAGTAACCCCCTGATTCTCTTGTGGTATCTCGATCTTGGTCGGTTCGTCGAAGTGGCCGGCCAGTGAGAACCACCATATATCACTGCGGTACTCATGGTCGCTGGTCGGGTCGTCGGGCTCCTGAATGCCGGCACTGACGTAGACGCCGAAGACATACTGGTCCTTCTTGATCACAAGGATGAGAGGCTTGGCGTCGCCCACATTGTCCAGCAGGTCGCCATAGGTGGTGCCGTCGACAGACATCCTACACACACACACACACACACACACACAGACGGAATCTGCCCATTGACTGTCAGAGGATCCCAGTCTGTCTGTTGCATGATGTGTGTCTACCGGTAGAGCGAGGTGAGTCGTGTGGTGTCGCCCCCCAGCAGGTAGACCAGCGCCTCATACTCTGACGCAGACAGCGGCGTGCCGCTGGGTGGTGGGAGAGTCGGTACGGGCGGCGGGGGTACGAAAAGGTGAGGGACCTGTTCAGACCAAAGTCAGCGTTTCGAATGGGTGAACGGGTCGTGTGCATACCTCCAGCACTTCTATCTCTTCAGCAATGAACTCAAGCGCCCCGCCCAACGCAGCATCGCCCTCCTCATCCATCACTCCCATGTAGCCCTCACGGACCTGTGGGGTGTACTGATAGCAGTTGCGGATGTCGGCAGAAGGCGGGCCATCGGAAGTGCCGCTCCAACCCAAAAGGATACCTCCACCGATCCCCATATTCGCACCCAGCACATTCCCCTTCCTCCCCCCCACTCTCAGACTGCCGCTCTCGTGGTATCTCGATCTTGGTCGGCTGGGGGAAGTGGCCGGCCAGTGAGAAATACCATACATCACACCCGGTCAGTTCGCATTCCTTGTAGCTTTCGCCAGTGTCGGGTCGTCGGGCTCCTGAATGTCGGCACTGACGTAGACGCCGAAGACATACGGACCACTCCTGATCACTAACACGAGGGGCTTTGTGTCGCCCACTCGGTCCAGCAGGTCGCCATACGTGGTGCCGTGCATAGACGTCCTACACACACACACACACACACACACACGTACACACATAGACGAAATCTGTCCATTGCCTGTCTGTTGGCATGATGTGTCTCTACCGGTAGAGTGAGGTAAGTGGTGTGGTGTCATTGCCCCCCAGCAGGGCAAGCAGCGCCTCATACTCTGACGCAGACAGCGACGTGTTGTCAGGAGGGGACACCTGCAGGCCGCGCAAACGGACCTGAACACACGAATCGGCCATTCACACCGAACCATCGAGTGAGTGGATGGGTCGTGGGGTGTGTGTGTGTATGCTCACCTGTTGTGTGGGTCTTGCCTCCGTGGCGACAGTGGTCGACGCCACACACAGAATCACCATCATGAGAACAGTCGCCATCGCGTGAGGGGGAAAGGACGAGAGATGAGGACGGAGAGCCTTGTTTGTTGGGGTGAGTCAGGCCGATTGCCAGCCGATGAGGTGAGAGGGGGACGAGGGAGCTGACACCAGGATTCGGTGGGGAAGAAAGGGGAGATCTTACTGTCGGCTTGATAGATCTCCCTGTCGAAGAAACGCGAGTTTCGCTCAGAGATAAAGGAAAGATAAAGGAACATGCAGGAGTCCAAAGCCCAAAACCTGGGGTCTGTGGCACTTTTAATTCAACTGGGCTAGGGTACTGGACCCCGTTCCTTTCGTTGCGCGCTTTGAGCTCCTGCCGATCGTCCCTCCCCCCCTTGGCCGCCACGTCCCCCGGAGCCGTCAGGATGGTCGCGCGAGTGGTGCTGCACCTGATCTGCATCGAGATCTGCATCATTGCCGTCGCGCCCCGGTGCCTGGCACAGGTGGCCGCGCCCAACGCCGTCGAGGGCTTCACCCGTGTGGGCTCCGGCGTGTGTGCGTCTGGCGGCAAGCCACTCGACTTCTACAGCCCCCCTGTGCAGGACGGGGTGGGCACGTCACTCGGATCTGTACGCGAACATTGTCAACAGTGACTCACTGTCGCATTGCTTGTGATGCAGATGCCATCTGGATGTGTCCACGGATGTGCAGTCGCCGTGGCTGGCGTCCCTGTGGCTGAATGCGTAAGCCAGGTCACTCACTGTATGCACAAGTGCGCCCGCATCTGGCATGTCTCTCCCTCTGTCGCCTTCACTCGTTCATTCGTTCATTCGTGCGTGTGTCTCTGTGTGTGTGTGATGCTCGATGCAGGCCCGTATGTGCAGCAACCTTACTACTGACCTGGGCGTGTGCGAGGGCATCCAGCACGACACCACCACCGACTCGTGCCTCGTCATCCTCAACGAGAAACCCGACGGCACAATGGGCGGAGAGGCCAACGAGTGCTTCAGATTCGTCGATGGATGTGAGCAGACGACACACACAGAGGCACCGAGACAGCTGATACAGAGGTGAACGGTTTTCTGCGTGTCTGTGTCCGGTTGTCAGCGTTCGAGAGTGTTGGCACCGGTTCTTGCCGAATCGAAAACGAGGAGGGCATCATGATCATCGGGCCCCACTACACCCTCCACGAGTCGCCGGGGACCAACATCACGGCCGAATACTGCTTCGAGTGAGCCAGCCCGTGACACACCCACATTCACACAACTACCTCACCTCTCTGTGTGCGTGTGTGTGTGTGTAGGTATTGTCTGCGGATGAATGAAGAGGAGGGCGCCATCAGCACGCAGACGAACCAGCCCTTCTGCACGGGCGTAGAGGTCCGCGACCTGTGCGAGCTGCAGGTGGTCATGGCGCCAACCACCGCCTCGCTCTCCGTCTGCTATGCCAAAAACTGACTTGACAGAGCCACATTTCAGTCAGGTCGGTGGGGCAGTGAGCGGCGTTTTATGTGGCTAATTAAGACAGTTCCAGTTTTGTGGGTGCGCGTGTGTCTGTATGTGCCTGTATGTGTCTGTCTTTATGTGTCTGTCTGTATGTGTGTCTGTATGTGTGTGTCTGTATGTGTGTGAGGAGGAGGAGGTGTGCGTGTGTGCGCGTGTGTCTGTATGTGTCTGTATGTATGCGTCTGTATGTGTCTATATGTGCGCACGTGCGTGTGTGAGTGTTTGTGTGTGTCTGTCTGTGAGGAGTGGCGGAGTGGCGGCGTATCTGAAAGTGTCGTGGGTTGGTGTCGTGCCTTTTGTTGTGTGCGATGGTGCGCTGTGAGGGCATGGTAGTGCCGCGTGATGTGATTTATGTGGTGTCGCGAAGTCGGTGTGTTGGGCTGGCAAAGGAGTGTATCTTCTCCCTGGCTCTGCTGCGCGCATCGGGCAGCCCTTGTCTAACAAGCGAGAAATGACACGGTCGGTGCAGCGAGAAATGACACAGAGGGAGAGAAAGGGAGAGTGAGCGGCTGAATGGCTGTTGGCGTAGTGTGCTGCGGTGTACGTATTGTGCGTGGGGTGGGCCGACGCTCTCTGCGTGCCTGCGCGAGCCCAGAGAGTCCAGGTGGCCGGTTTAGTGGTGTGGTCATGGGCCTCTAGTTTCGTCCATGGAGAGGTAGACAGACAGGGTCACGTGCCGGCAGAGACAGGTGGCCGGAGCGATCGGCGTGTGGGTGTGGGTTGTGCATCAATCAAGGCGGGTGAATAACTGACTGAATGAATGAGTGGTAGTGGCGAAATCGTGTTCGTCGTGTTGTCGTTTTGTGAGTGTTCCAGCGTGCGGCAGTGAGGAAACCGCATGGGGTGACTGACGATGTGCTGCCCTTTTTGCCCGTCAACAGCGTGTGTGTATGTGTGACTGATTGATGGCTTCCGAACATGAAACGTGTGACTGGGACACGGCAGGTCACGACCACCCTGTGATAAAACGACCTTCTCGTGTGTCCCTCCATCCCTCTCACGCACACCATCATACACACACAGACACCCGCACGCAGTAACTAAGTCACTCGCCGGTGAAACACCAAGGACAGCGCCCCCAGTATCACCAGCAGCAAATAGGTGAACATTACCTCAGACCACACGACGCTGAACGCAGCCAGCAGCTTCCTGCCCTCCTCCCTGCCCACACTGCTGGTCTGCCAACGGGCCAGCAGTATCACGCCGGCCAGCTGCGACTCGCGGATGAATACCGTGCTCAGAATCAGGAAGCCGAGACCGAGAAACACGAGCCAAGTCGCTAAGTTCCAGCCCAGTGGAAGAATCCACACCAAATAGTGAGCCCAAGCGACGACAGATACAGCACAGATCAGGTGAGCCAACGCAGCGCGGCGTCTGGCGTCGTTCGAGAGAGGTGAGACCACCCCAAAGGCAGCAGAAAGGCGTGTGAGGAATGCCACAGAGGCTGGGAAGAAGAGGCAGAAGGTCAGGCAGAGCCAAGCCCAGATGGACAGAGGGATGAGGCCAGTGAGGAAGAGGAAAGGGATCAGGAACCACACGTTATGCAGCAACACCGACACGTAGAAACCGATGCTACGGAACTGCATAAACGAAAGCAAAGACACAGAGAGGAAGGAGTCCGATTGGCACCCACCACCCCGTGTGCTCCTCTTCACCCGATCTCACCATCTCGATCTCGGGTGGCGCCTCGCGTGCCAGTGCGGCTCGTGTGGCCATGCGCAGTGGTCGTGCCGCAACCTCGCGAGGTCGTCGTTCCGCCGTAGGCTGAGAAGCCGGCAAATCTGGCAGCTCCACGGCGGACGCCATGGTGGAAGCACCAGGTGAGGCATCGAATGGTCGCGACGAAACCGAAACAGGAGAGATCTCGCCCAGCTCGAGGTCCAATCCCACGGGCTTCACGGTCGCATCCTCAGACAGATCACCAGGTAGATCTCCGATGGGAGTCGAAGGATTGCCAAGCACGCGAACAGCCATGATTGTCCAGACCTCCGAAAGGGAAGCGCACACGGAAGGTTGGTTTCGTCTATCTGCCGCTCCTCGCTCCGGGGGGTTCACGCCTCTGGCCTTAGAGTCCAGGATTCCATGCTTCGTGAAAGCTAAGTCTAGGGCCCTCCCCCGATCATCCTGCCTCTCCTGCATCCCGCGTGTGGATGAGCTGCTAGCGGCCTCGCGATTTGCGGCACAGTGGGAGCCGGGGGTGGCCGTTTCGACCAGAGGGTGCGGGGGCATTATCGGCTGATCATGCTGGGCCGTGAGGCGATGGATTACGAGCACGTGGCGCTCATCCGGTGATGGATTGGGGGTTTCGACGGTCTGTTTGTATCGATACGACCGAGCCCGCCCCATACGGCAGCACACACACGGCTGTGATGAGAGTTCCCGAGCAGCACCTTGGGCACCTGGTGTGGCGGGGGGAGGATGAGAGGTAAATGGATGGCATCAAGATCCGCTAACCCATCTGTACAGATTGTCGATCGTGGTGTTAGCGCAATGGGGGTGTGAGAGAGAGACGTTGTGTCGTTGTTTGCGTGCTGTGTCGACACATGCTGCGGCGTTTCTGAGTTTGATTGGTCACGTGTGCATTCCCTGACTGTATGTTGCCGTTGCTCGCGTGTCCACTATTACATCGGATCAATCAATCCGCACAAAAGTGATAATGGTCGGTTCAGAAGAGAAGAGTTCATCAGTTTACACACATACCACCGGAAATACGGTGCTGTCTGTCTTAATGAATACAGCACCCTCCACACACACACACACACGTGAATACACGCATTCACCAGTGCAGACATACATACATACATCCCCGCTCAAATGCGATGCGCCGACCCAAGTCTGAGCCAGCGAGCACACCACCACACAGAGAGAGAGAGAGAGGGGGGCAGGAATGGGTGTCTCATCCCTCACCCCCGTGTACACCCTATCACTGGACATACACATACATACATACATACATACGATACATGACCCACAAGCAGCCAACCAGCCCATCCCTCGTCTCCGCTACACATATGATTGCTCAGCACAGGCTGCCGACGGACGGCAGCCACGAGATGGACCCTGTTTCTTTGCTGGTGCGGCCAGGAGAAGCGACAGAACCAGGCGGATTAAGCAGAAGGCCATGGCGAGACCGAAGAGCCAGAGGAGTGAGTAGGAACTCACAGACAGGGCCATCACACACAGAAAGGGCACAGCGACACACCGCACACACACATACACACATACATATGCACACGGATAGTTACTGCACACCCACATGACCGTTCTATGTACAATGACACACACCATCCACACACGTACAACAATCCGCTCCAGACGGCTCAGGACCCACTAAGACGAATAAATAAATAACGTAAAAGACGCCTTCGATCACCATCAGCGCGACGTGCACAGCGACGATCTCTAGGCACACCCTGCTGAAGGCACCCTCAGGGCTGTTGAACCGTGCGAGAGGCAGGAGACACAGCACCACGATTATTATAGACACGACGCCGACTATGGCCGCTGGCTCGATTTCCCACGTCCAAAGCAGGAGGTGGAACCAAGCTGCCACCGCTACACCGAAGATGGCGTGGGGGACCGCAATGCGCAGAGCTTGGAAAGACCCCGGAGAGAGAGCCCACGCAGAGAGCACCTTGGACAGGCGCCAGACGAACGCTGCAAGGGGTGCGAGGTAAGACAGGGCGGACATGAGTGCCCATGCCCATGCCGTGAGGGACTCAGGAGCGATGAGATGGGTCAGGAAGAGGCCAGGGATCATGAACCACAGATGATGGACCAGCACCACCACGTAGAAGTCAATGGAACGGAACTGAACAGGGAAAAGAAGACACACAAAGCGAGGAACAGATGCCGTGACACCCGACGTATTTTCCCGTCCGTCTGTCTATCTCTCAGTCTCACCCTATTGATCTTCAGTTGCTCCTCAGGTGGGAATGTAGCCACCGCTTCACCCAGTCGTTGTTCTGGCGTCTGGGAAGCCGCAGCTGGCATCTGTCTGGCGGACGCGACAGGGGAGGCGCCAGACGACGCATCCAGTGTTCCGGAGGTGGACATGGGGGAGATCTCGCCCAGCTCCAGGTCCAGGTCCGTGGGCTCCGCTGCCATGATGACTTCTGCAAAACGAGAAAGCTGAGAAGCTGACAGATGAAGGCGTGATGCGAGAGAAGTAAGAGGTGAGGAGAGGAGGAGAGAGAGGGGGAGAGAGGGGAGGTGAATAATCTATCCGCCCATCCCTCCCCCCTCTGCTTTCGGGTCCAGGGTTCCTTGATTCCCTGGCCAGATACCCCCAATATCTCCAACCCACCTCTTCTTGCCAGGCGAGGCATCGAATGGTCGCGACGAAACCGAAACAGGAGAGATCTCGCGACGTCCACTGATGCCGACTGTCGAGCATTCCCCCCTCTCTATGTTGCGACTCGTCGCGGGCATCTCTGCTGGCGTCGTGTGCCTCATCGGCCTCGAAGAGCTCATCCGCCGGAAGCGCAAGAAGGCCGCCAATGCGTCATCGACAAAGGATGCCAAGCAGCAGGGTGCCACCCGACAGGACACACGCCAGATCACGCCAGAGGAGAAGTTGACGCTTCGCCAAGTACCTCGTGTGCCGGTGAGCATTATGGAGGCGTTTCAGGCGATGCGGTCGGGCCAGGAAGCGCACCTGTAAGACATACGCACACCCATGCAGGACGCAGAGGCAGCCAGGCATGTGAAGATGGCTCACATGTGAGGTGATCTGAATGCCCTCCTTTCCCTGTGTGTCTGTCAGGTTCGAGCAGTGGCGTGACGAGATGGATAGCGACTTGTTCTATCTGCAGCTGCCCCTCTGCCAGCGGGCCTATGTCTGCACGGACCCGTCATGCTGGGATGCGCTTGTCGGACCTGCCGGACTGGACAAGTCGCACCGGTATCACCTGTTTGACCTCTTCGGCGAGGGTGCCCTGACCAGAACACGGCAGATGATCACGCGCAAGACGAGCGGCGAGCACTGGCATGCCATCAGAAAGGCCCTGAGCCCCGCATTCGCGTAGGCACGCATCACACCATGAGACAGACAAAGGATGCGTTGCATTGCATGGCGGCTGCTGGTTCTTTCTTTCTTGTGCTGTTCCCCTTGGTTGGCTCCTTCATTCAGAAACAGGACCCTGCTGACCAAAACCCCCATCTACCATCGTGTGCTGGGATCCTTCGTCAAGGCCCTCGATGACGCGGCCGACAAGCACCTAGCCGTCGATATGCCCAAGTGGGGGCTGCGCTACACCATCGACATGATCGGGGAAGTCGCATTCAAGTACGCACGCACATTGAGGGAGGGGTGACATGACGCAGATCACATCAATCACGATAAATGCCATGTATGCATGTCGCGTGTGTCGTGTGTGTTTCTTAGCTATTCGTTCCATGCGTTTGACGCGGAGCGCAATGGTGAGGCATTGGCCCTCCTGCGCGCCATCGACTTCATATTCCAGGAAGTCTGGAGCACCCTCGTCAACCCATTCCGGTGAGCATGTCCATCCATCCATCCATCCATCCACGCACACCAAATGTAGCGCGGCGCAGCGCCCATCCACGCACACCAAATGCAGCGCGGCGCAGCGCAGCACAATTGACCTCCCTGGTTGTGTGGCCTGTTTGTGTATGCAGGCCCTACATGATATGGTGCAGTCAAGTGCGCGAGTACTACCGCTGCATCAGGCTGTTCCGCGACGTCTGCCGCAAAATCTACCAGCAGTTCCTGGACACCCCGCCGGACAAACGAGACGTGAGGAAATGAATGCATCTCATGATGGTGTGGTGCAGACACACATGTATGTGTTTGTGTGGGCTGGGTGTACGTGTGTGTATAATACAATCGATCCATCCATCAGGCCACGTCTGTCATCTACTACATCCACAACGCCCCCTACCCGACTGAGTTTGAGAAGTTGTGCGACATCTACAACCTCCTCTGGGCCGGGTATTATGTAACAAGAAACACAACACGCGCATGCTACATGCGTCTGTTTTGTCTGCCGTGCTGGGCATACACGCAGGCACGACACGACAGGCTACACCATCGCTTGGGGCGTTTACCACCTCTCGAGCAACCCCCGTGCGCTCAAGAAGCTGCAACAGGTTGGTTCGGTCACGCAACACACACGCGATTGTGGCAGACAGACTTGTGTGCCTGCACGTCTCGTCTTGTGTGTGCAGGAGCTGGACGCAGCCACCTTCGAGAATGAGTTTCCCACCTACGAGGAGCTGGGTCAGCTGCCGTACTTCAACGCCTGCGTCAAGGAGTTCATGCGCATGTAAGAAGAAAAGAAACCGAGATGAAATGAGTCGATCTATCCATCCTATCTGATCTCTTGTCTGTTTCTCTTTGTCAGCACGCCCGTCGTGGGCAACGGCGGCCTCCGGCAGACAGAGGGCGGCATCAAGGTGACGTCACGGGGCGTGGACTACTGGATTCCTGGCGGGTACGAGATCTTCTTCCCGCTCCTGCCGCCTTTCAGAGACGACAGAATGTACGTGTGAGCATGCTGACACATCATGTGTGCCGTGCTCTGCTCACGCACTCTGTTCATTCTCACGTGCGTGTCTCTGACTGATGGCGGGGCTTAGTTGGGGTGACGGCAAGGTGTTCCGTCCCGAGCGGTGGCTGGAGGCGAGCGAGGAGCAACTGAAGCTCTACAACAAGGTGTTCCAGCCCTTCAGCGTCGCCCCCAGATCATGGTGAGGCGGGCGTTGCGTCACACACGACAGGGCCGCACCACATACATGTGGCCCGCTCGGGTTGCATTGTTTTGCATCCTTTGCCCCTTGCTTGTGTGCCGTGCAGCATTGCCCAACACTTGGCGTCGATTGAGGTAGCTAACACATCAATGCAATCACGGCAATCTAATCGCGCAGCGACGGAGAGCAGGAATGTATGGTGCGTGTGGTCTCTCTGCTGCGTGTCTTGTCAGGTTCGCATGACCATGGCGGCGTTGTTCAAGAGGTTCGAGTTCGAGGTCACCACCGAGCCCGACCCATACTACGCAATCACGTACGCACACAGACAACAGACACTGGTTATTTTCACGCATGCGTGTCTGCCCTCGTCTCTGTGTGTATGTGTGTGCAGGTACAAGCCCCGGGGGCTGATGGTCAAGCCCATCAGGCGCACATGAAGACAACAACGCCGCAAGACACAACCGACAGACGGAAGGGAGGTATTTGCGTGTCCCCAACTGCCGGGATCCTTTTTTTCTCATGGAGCACCTCGTGCTGCGTCATATTTTTATTTATCGTGTTGTTGCGTGCCGCATTCATGCTATGCATGCACTTTATGTGTCCCTGCACGTGTGGTCAACGGACCTGTTTGTGTAGCACTACGAAGGCCTGCCTCTTCGTGTCCTTTTTTCGGCGCATGCGATGGATGGATGGATGGATGGTGTTTTTCGTCCACTTTTTGTTGTTGCCGCCCGATTGCCTCAGCCTTCCCTCATCCACGTCATGCAAACACGATGAATGTCTTTTTCTTGTCACACTATTTTTCCCCACTGAGAGGGAAAAGCGGGGGGCTTTTTGTTGACCCGGTGTCTCTTTTTCATTTTTTCCGTGTCCCCGCTGCTCTCACGCGGGGCAGCGGTTTTATAGCGTCCGTAGAGGCGCCAGTCTTACATCGCGTGCATATATATAATTCCACAACGTCTTTTTGTCAATGAGCCTTTCGTCGTTGCCTGCGGTGCTCTCTCTGTGTAGTTCTTCCGTCCGATCATCGATGTGATGTGTTCCTCAGACATAGGAGGGCGCATCGCGTCACACGGGAATGTATGCTATTTGTGTGTGTGCGTATGTATGTACACGTGCATTGGTCGATCGGGAGTGCCTGGCAAGAAGTACGTAAGTACTGCAGTGGTAGGGTGTGGTGCATACTGTCCATGCAGCCGATGCATGTTGCATGTCGTGTGTTGCATGTTCGATGCACAATGACATCCCTTAGACGGAGCACAGACTATACCTGACGTCTGCTGTCTGTTAATCGCGAGCTGACGTGTCGACTGGCGGTGTGGATGCTGTGGTTGTCAGTTTGTTGAGGAAACGATGTGTCGGCCCGCAGATGGATAACCTCGGCTATAGCCTGAATATTCCCAGCCCGCACAACGAGGCCGTAGGGCTCCTTTTGTTCCGTAAAACCTTTGGCAGAGAGGAGAGGGAGAGGGGAGAGAGAGGTACGTGGAGGGAGTGTCAGGATTGCCAGCTTGGCAAGACGAACCACTGCGAGCTTGTGAGCTAGGGTAGATTGCTGTGCAACGGAGAGAGAGAGGAGAAGACAAGGAAAG